AGACCCGACATTCACCGTACGGGTCGGGGTATCGCTTGTCGGTGCAAGGATGCTGCCCGTAAATTATATACACTATTGTATACACTATTATACAATGCCATACTTGTTGCTCTGAATGTGTGGGGGGCAATGGGCCTTAGATATTGAAGTATTACGCAGCGGAGCTCTCCGCGATGTGAACACCACGAAGGTTTACGTCCAGACTGAGCTCCGGTTGTTTACGTTACGCCTTTTATCGGGCCAGGTCACCGTCAGTTATATAGTGCAATCTAACACAATAAACAGAAGAGACATTTCTTGTTTGGCGAGATATGCAACCTTTTATTCTGTTGTATCACAAACCATAGTATCAACACGTGCGAGGCATGATGTAGGATAGAGATTGTCTCAAATATATTAACATGTGTCTCATGTCAAAAACCCGGCCGAAACACGCCTAACTGCGTGAAAGAAACCAAGACCACGTGCGTGTGCGAACGAAAAGGGGGAACCAGCCAATCGGGCACAAATTGTGTATGAAATGAGAAAGGAAAGGGGTTCACAAGGGACAAGCGAACACGTTTTAAATGTGCTTTAGCTGGCGGTCTAAAGCACCGCGGACACTCTTGTAATACTGGAGGTTTCCCAGATCGGACAAGTGTAGGCCGGCAGGCGCAAAGTAGTTTGGGTTGTGTCTCCACAGACGTCTGTGGTCCCATACTGTGACCTTGGGGTAGCTCTGCACAAGTCCCTTCAACGCCTCCGTGAATTTGTGAAGGCGCTGAGGAAAGTCAGACATGTTAGGTGGAATATGGAGACGTCAGATATCTGGGGAACCTTGGACGAGCGCCCGGTCTGCTTTCTGGTGGAGACCCACTCAGTGTACACGTGGCGTGTCTATCATATATGGCAATACCTATTAAAAATTTCATCCTTATTTGGTAATACTTGCGTCAGATACCATTCTTTCCTAATAACTATACCTTACTCACGTACTTCCTAAATAATCAAACATAAATCCATACGAATGTGAGTTACAGCTCAGGGTACACATTTCATTCGTTGATGCATGCATCATATTAGCACCCTCAAAAACAAACAATACAACTTCCTACATACAATACGGTGTTAAAAACACACACATTTTAAAATACTAGTAGTACTAAAACAACAATCCGTTATAAGAAAAATTCCTTTTACTCAAGCTATATCAAAAGGGTTACAAATTTATACTATTATATTATTAAAATACTCACGTCGCCGGTGTGTTTTTTAAACACCGCCCTTGTTTCTAATTTGTTCCACCAATAATTAGTTCCTGGTGGTATCATTTTAGACTGGGCAATCTGCTGTTTTATAGGAAAAATTCAAGGTAATTTGGGGCTGGTACTTGATTTAAGCATTACATCTATTCTATCATGGATGTGAGTGCAAGTTATAAGTGCAGATAAACATAAGAAATACCCGCACAGCTACAACTTTACCTACATTAACCTATTATGTAAGTGGTAGTTTAAGCTGGAATAGTCAGTTTCCTTACCTTGGTAAAGTTCCATTTGATAGCACTGCAAAGGGAAGGGTAACAAGTATTGAAGAAAGTATCAAGACAATTAAAAATACTAGTAGTAAACTAGCAACTCTCTTTATACATCACCAAAATAAACGAGCTGAAGACATCAACATTTAAAATACTTCTGCTAGTTCATTATACTGACATTTAGAAGATAATTTATATAAAAAGGTACATAAGATATAATATATAAGTACATGTAGTAGAGTCTAAATTCAATCTCTTCTTCATGTAATGAAGTAACATAGATAAAAAGAAATGTCTACTTAAAGCAAAGACAATGAAGAGAAGTCGGACTTACTCGATGAGAGTCCCTCCTTGCTTGCTCTTCAGGTACTTCCACAGAGGGTGTGCGTCCTTACCGTTGACGTTAATCTTACTGAACATGTCAAACTTAACCCCAAACTTGTCCGTCACCCACTGCTTAATCTCAGGTTCAGGCCACGGCTCCTGTAAGGCATTGATGAGAAGGATTATTTTACGTTGGTGAAGGTTAGAGACATCCAGATACTGCCAGATATGCCAAAAACAATTACTCAAGCAACTGCATAAAAGTTTGGAAAATCATATCCAGTTGCTTGAATAACTGTTTTTTGAAGGATTCTTTTAATTGTTAATTGTGTGTGTTTCTTCTGGTTTTTGTGTTCACACGTGTTGCCCCCCCTGCCCCCCATTTGGTTCGCATGAAATATCATCTTAATTTGGTTGTTACCTTCGCCAAGAAGGTTATGTTTTCAGGGGCGTTCGTGTATGTGTGTGTGTGTGTGTGTGTGTGTGTCTGTCTGTCAACACGATAACTTCAGAGGGCATTGATGGATTGTCTTGATACTTGGTAGATGGGTAGGTCTTGATGAGACCTCGAAATGATTAGATTTTGGACCCCCCAGCGGCTTGTTATGGTACTGCAGCTGAACTTACGATTTTGATATCTCATGATCTAGACATGCTATGGTGATGAAATTTGGATGGTAGGTAGCTCTTGTGCTGGGGAAGAAGTGACGTGAGTTTAGGCTCCCTAGCGGCTTGCTCTGGAACTGCAGGGATATATTCTTGAAAATATTCAAAAGGGGATAACTCAAGAACCAGTTGACGGATCGTCGTGATTTTTGTTATGTAGGTAGCTTACGTGATGCTTAATATAATTATGTGACAATTATGCAAATATGGATGTAATTTGCATAATTTATGGGGAAATTCTATAAATCATCTGCATTCCATGATAGGACAATTGAAGCTTGTGACATTGGTAATTGACAACGAGAGAAACACAGGAAGATATTGATTATGTTAATAATGACTTAATTTGCATAATTAATTAGAAAATTTTATAATTATGTAATGATAACTGCCTGGAATTTCATACTTGTGGTATTTGAAAGTTAAATTGAGGTGAACATCATTAAGCATAATTTATTCAAATCAGGACCTCATTTGCATAATTTATTAGGAAATGCTAGAATGCATTGTTTGTTAATATAAGACTGTCTTTTGGTTGAGATTATGATAAAATGATATAATTCATGAAAATTAGGTTCCTATTTCTTAAATCAGGGGGGAATAATCTAATCTATAATTTGTCAGTCATAAAGATTAACATCATTTGGCGAAGGTATGAGATCGGGGAACTCTAGTTGTTGTAATGTTTTGTCTACAATAGAATAAAGAAAGATTACAAAAAAGAACAAAATTAACAATGGCTTTTCAATGAAAACAAATAAAAAAGAAAGATCACCTGCCCCAAACACCAATTAGTATACAGATAAAGGGTACTGACTCTCAAGCAGTTCAAATTTTAACAAAATCATGTCTACATAAGTTACCTTTCTGCATTGTACACAACTTGCACTTACCAACATCAACTAGAACTGGAGTGTTATAGGAGGCAATGAAAAGAAAAGAAAGCTCACCTGCCCCCCAAACTGATTGCACGGGAACGCTAGTATACACAAGCCTTTGGACTCCGCGTACTTGTCGTGGAGCTCCTGCAGCTGTGTGTAATTCACGTTCGTCCCGCCTCATTTGCACGCCACGTTGACGATGAGACAGACATGATCCCTGAGGAGAGGGGGCAAGAAAAAATTTGTGAACTTGGAATTGCTGCGCTTTCTTTTACTCGCATTGTACTACAATTTTTTACATAACTCACTGTCATAAGGTTTCATCAAGAATCAGTCATCAACATTTCAGTCAACAGAGCGAAAAAACATTCTTCTAAGGTCTATAGTACAGTGTGTAATAGTATATAATGTGTACAGGGATTAGGAAAGCCCTATGAAAGCCAAATGTGCTAAACACATTGTACACAAATGTAAACTAAATATTGTTCGAACAGTGAAAGGTTTCCCTGGTGTACACAAGAATATAAAAGTGAGTGAGTTGCATAATGTCTTACCGGTATTTCTCTAGCGAGACTTCATTCCCATCTATGTCTTTGGCAGTGAAGTCATAGATGGACGTGGCATTCTTCCACTCGTCCTCACCTCCTGCAGCCTGCATACACATGGAGAGCAACTTTTTAACAAACTTCTGGTGGATCAAAATAAACTGTACTAAGCTAATTACCAAAAAATATATAGTTGCTCAAGCAACTGGATATGACACAAAGTCCCTGACGAAAGGTAGTGGATGCTACCTGCAATGTCTGTCAGACCGTTTCCAAAATCACATCCTAAATTTGCTTGAGTGCTAGTAACTGTTTTTGGAGCACCTTATTACCTTCATCGTTGTACAAGTAAACAGTTACCTAGATACCAACATAACAATGTCTGGTGACTGACAGATGTAGAGCTGTCAGAAGCACAGAGGAGGAAGGAAAAATGTTCCCTCCTAGTATCTGCTTGGAGATGAAAAAGATCATGGCCACAGACACCTGCCTTCAAAGAAACCCCTGCTCCCATGGCTGGTTCCACCCAATTCAGGCAAACAGAAAAGTGCAAGCAAAAGTCTGAGCAGCACTGAAGCAGACACTGTATTCTGTATGTCTAACAGGTTGAACTGCTAGAAAGTAGAAGCAGGTCATTTTGATGGACAGCCAGGATTGGTCTATCTATGGATGACATCATACAATGTAGGTGTGCCAGTCAATTAGCAAGTAACATTACCTGTCAATAGTCCCTAAAGTTTCAACTATGCCAAGTCTCTATCTGTACCAAATCTATCCACTCAAAAGCTGTGACATTACCCTTGTCTGCTGCATATTAGTGAAATCGTGTCACAGATGAAATAACAATATACTGGCTTGATGACATAACTGTTAATGATATCTTTTGCCCAACCCACAGCAAATGTGGTATCCAGGCTTCTGGTATGTCCTCTGTTCTAACAGAGTACTAACGTAACTGGTGCACACAATTTTCTGATGGATAATGATAGGGTTCTGAAATCTGTGTTGGGAAAAAAAATGTCCAGTGGGGTCTGCAATGGAGGTTTTACATCCTGCAACTTACTAGGTTGGCATACTGTAAGTGTAACATGGTTGGGGTTATACATTGTATATGTCAAAAGGTTCAGCACCACATGACCTACAGACTTGTCATTCATGGATCGACTTCATTTTGTCCTGTCTGATACCACACTGGATCTCGACATTACATAGAGCAGCGGTAGGACCTTGCCAATGACCGACCCAGCTGGAGGTTCATGATAACACTGTTCTGGCAGCTGAAATCAGGAGAAGCTAGACGGATATACTGGGCAGAAGAGAAGCGGATCTTAAGACAAGGACTTTGTAACTGACCCGAGTTAGCTTACAAATGTGCCCTATGTGGCAGAGATTGTCATTCTCATATATGACTGTTCCATCATGCTGTAGCTGGAGCTGATTTCATAATGAAGGCAACTTAATTTTTTTGGGCCAAACTTTTTTTTTATTCCCACGCTCACATCAGTTTGGGGTTTCCCCAAAAAATTGGATATCATCCATATAATCAAATCAACATAATTGCCTTTCTATTTCACGTAACGGGCCCGTTAACGTTACAGAGGAATGCTCATCACTGGTAGGAAGATACGATACGATCTACCATCAACTTTGCTATAGCACACATCCCCTCCAACACTCTTTTTAGTGAAACAGGTATGTAGGAAGGAGAAGGGGGAGGGGGGGGGTAACGTTACGTGTGTAACCAAATTTGGATCGCTATCGGATCCAGGACTGTCTCACCCTTACACAACGCTTGCTGGTGATCCCTGGGACAAAATCAGTCGATAGAGAAATATGTTCATGGAAGCTTAACGCATTTAAGGGGACTTAAACCAGAAAACTGCACATCCTTACCATGCTGGCAACGCCCCTGGACGCCTGTACGAGCGAACGCTTCAGGAATACGGTAGTTGCCCCTGCAAACAGTCCCAGAAGTGCACCTCCCATCTTGACCTTTGTACAGTATCTGACGCTCTAATGATGCCCTCTGGCGGATTATTACAAATTGCAGGAACGAACGCACCGTGCGATAGCGACCTCTAGCGGATTTGTTAGTACTCTGAGTCGGTAATAACAACATAGTATAGTCGAACTTCGAATAAAAATTAAGTTTAATAGGGCATAGCTACTTAAACCATAGCGTTTATAAACAAGCAATGATTATAACATTTACTAATAATCACACTTTTTGTACAATTATCAATTTACCGGTTGGAATTTATGAATGGTAATATGATGACATCAGGTGATAATGTGAAGAATGACATTGATACAAGTGATGACAAATGAAAGCCTCAAATTCCAATATAAAGTTACATCAAAACAATATTCTCTAGGAAACTGAGCATACTTTTGAAATGCTAAAGGTATAAAGCAATTGTTTCATTCATTTATCTACTCCATTACTTGAAATGATATGTTATAATCTTTTATACTGTATGTCACATTGTAGCGAAATTAAACAACATTGCAACAGCTACAGTTGTATTTTTGCGAAGGCTATGGCCGCAGTGGAAGTCCCTGTCTTGCTGAATCCCTTTTCATACAGAACATAGAGATAATTTTTATCTTCAGGGTCCTTCTGTAGCATGGTTACCGCGGAGTACCCCGCCGCCTTCTCCCAGATGGGCAGTTCCCCCGCCCAACTTGTGCCGTTGTCATAACTCCATCTTAACGTCATCTTTTGCCCTGTGGAGCCAACAACAAATTCATGAATTGATTCGTGATTCGTTAGTACAATGATGGTGTAACACCATGTAACAGACACAGTGTAACAGTGGGGTTTATAGGCGCTACCAACAGATCTGGCAAACGGGTCTAGACCTTTTCGGCCGAGCGGTTAGAGCGTCTGACTGGGGCCCGGGAGGTTGTGGGTTCGAACCCCGGACCGGGACCAGTGGGTTTTTACTGGCTCCTCCTGTTTCTTACAATGGATTTTCGTATAATACTGAGATAGAATTCCGGCAAAGGCTACGAGTGGGGTAGCTATATGGGGAAGAGTTGAGGAAGGCTACGAATTAAAAAAAAAAAATTTTCAAAGCGATCACAGTACTTGCACAAATGCCTCTGCCACTGAGGCGTCGCCAAAAATATCACTCTATAAGTATATGCACCAAGGACGTTTTACAACGTTTTACAACGTCCTTGCATATACACACACAAGATGTCTAATACGTACTTTTCGTCAGTCAAAAAACATAGTGACCCTAAAGACTTCAAACTTACGTTTTGACGAACTGTTAGGCCCGGTGAAGTAAAGAACCCCGTCACTGAACAACAGCCCCGCATCAGTTGGCGGTTCTATCAGCGTCTGGTCGAATCGGAGGCTGCTAATCGGGAGACTCTCCCCGCCGTCGTGGCTGGTGAGGAAGGCTTTACAGTGACAGGTGCACCTGAGCTCGTTTCGCGTCATCACCAGGAGAGAGCCGTCTGGGAGCTCAACCGGCTAGGGGGCAGTGGGAGGAGGTTAAACCCATGAAACTTGGGGAAAGGTGAGGAGTTTAAACGCATGAAGCTTCAGAAGAGAGCTAAACGGCCGGTGGGGGGGGGTGTGCAGGGGATGAGTTAAACACTTGTAACAAAAGCTAGAGAGTGGGAGCTCAACCGGCTGGGTGACGGAAGGAAGAGTTTAAAAACATGAAACTTTCATATGTCATAGACGAGCTTCATTTTGAGTTACTCTTATTTAGGGTGACGTCTGTTCACTAATATCATGAAATTTTTATTTACCGGCATACTTTTCTTTGCGGAAGTTTAGACTTCCGGCGGCTGTAAAATCGTTAAAAAATCCTAGCTGTAATAAAAACATTCAACTGTTAGCTAGTTATTGGCATACACGACTCCAATTTTGCATTTTATCTCACTGCGTGGCCTTTACCTGGCACTCTCCTAGTTGAAACATATGTTGTTGGTTTTCTCCTCGACACGAGTCGTTGCAGGGTCTTTTGGCTACGAACGCGCCTGTCCGCCAGGTCCGCCCGCCGTCATCGCTCAGCAGCAGGCTCAGGCCCCAGTCCGGCCCGCGCCCGTGCGCGCACACGACCAGACGCCCCTTGTGGGGCTCGTAACGTTTCTGCAATTTAAAGAAAAGGGATTCAAACTTTGATACACATCCCTACAATAGGACGAAAGTAATATCTTTTGTTTATGCAAATTAGTGCCCAAACATTCATGGCCAAGTCTTGCTAAAGAGCTCGAGTCAAGTCACACACGCCACTTGAAACCATGGATGACGAGTTTTGGTATCTTAGCTATACACCAGTCATGAGGTACCACTCAAAGTCCTTGATATGACACAGAACCTATACGTTTGTGTGCTTTTACGATACACTGACGAAAGGTAGTGGATGCTATCTGAAACGTCTGACCGTTATCAAAATCATATCCAGTTGCTTGACAATTTTTTTTTTTTCAGAATTATAACTTACCCTTATTCCGTACCCCGGACTTGGATGTGAGACGACGCCCGGCTGTAGCTGCGGGGTGATGTTCCGAGGCTGTCCCCAGGTCACCCCGTCATTCGTGCTATTCATCAGCAGCACAGAGGGGACAGCACACCGGAACTGACAGTGGATGAACATCACGAATGTCGTGTTGGAATCGTCGTCCACGAATGCCGTGCCTGCGCCCAGTACTCCATGGTCGTACCCGTCGTCGACTAAAAACGCCGTCGGAGTCCAAGTCACCCCTAGCGATTACCAACAAAAAGAGATGAAGAAAACAATAATCACACGAGTAACGAGGGATAACCAATGGTAAGCTTCTGCTACTTTATTACACTTGTTCCATGGTGCACGATTTTATTTAGAGAAGGGTAAGACTGAACTGTCTTGATCGGGGCATTTGGAACCAAAATGTTTGGTTTGCTATACTATGTGTCATACCGCTTGCTCTTTGATTTCAAATGTGGACAGCCTGGATGAATCCAATGAAAAGATATTGATAGCAAGCAAAGTAACTATCACCTTTATCAGTAGATCTTCTCAGAGATATAATTTTCTTTCCGTTGTCCTTTTTGTTGTACTTCCTGGCCCCGGCGAGCGCTAGGATGGTGCCGTTAGGTGTGTAGGTCATGAAGGGTGTCCTGTACCCGGCTATCTCCCCTTCCACTCCGCTGGTCCAGATGGTCACGTCCGACACAATCTTTGGATTTACCTACGACACAGAACACTTATATTATAATTCTGTAGATGATGTAGGATTGTAGATGTAGATGTATGATTGGTCTCGAAAGACGGCGGTCCAGCTGACCGAAATGGCCGACGACCGCCAAAGTTGGAAAACTCACCCTTCCATACGGCTCTTTGGAGTTACCTACCATACAAAACCCTTATTACAAGTCTTTAGAATTAGAAGTGCACGTATGCTATAGCTTCTTGAAACGTATTGGTCAATCATTTTAGATTCTTGAGTATTAATCTATCTATAGGAAGGGGAGGGGCTGGTGCACGGACAGACTCACGTGCCTCACTAAACATAAAGCGCCATTTGAGAACGAATACATGCTTGTGAAAATGCATAACGTGTTATATGAATTTCCTCTTTCTGTGATTAAGATACAGACATGACTAGTACACGTGATTTTGTTAAGCACAACAGTAAAAAAATGTGACAACAGATGATTGTTGACAATAGACAGGTGTAAACAATGGCGCCGAGGGCACTCACCTTTCTCGCCGACACACGTGCACAGTCAGGAGTTCCGCTCAGTACTGCGCAAAACAAGACCACAACACGCCACATGAACAACTCCGGGTACAAGGTGGGCGCCATCTTGACAAAATAACAATCATATGACTTCATTGTGCGTGACCCGGACGAGTCCACAAGGACAGAGAGAGGATATACAAAGGAACAATATAAAACACTGATTTGTTCCAATGGCATGCATGTGTGTGCGAAAACCCTACATTCGAGATATCATCAGAAACATAGATACCTAGGGATGGTACATTATTGTATCTTGTTGTTTCAGAGGAGACACTTTATTATCAAGTACCATTTTCATCATTGGAATTCATTCTTTTTGTAGCTGCCCTTTCACCTGCGAACTTAAGATGGGCCAATACCAGTTGGACAGGGTGTTACTAAATTTAGTGCAACGTGTTTCAAAACAGTACCGTGCGGACAGGTTGTTATGATTTCTTGAGTGTTGAATTAAAATGGCGATCGACGTCATGTTATCGGCAAGGCTTGTTTCCGTGTGCATTGTTTTGCTCTGTGTGAGCTGTACAAGCTCTGATGACACACAGCCTGTTCAACGGCCAAAGGTAAGGTGGCCGAGTATTGCAAATACACATGTAAGAATGATCAATAACGTAAACGTACATATATGTCAGTTGCAATTGTGCTGTGATCATAGACTTCATAATCTGTGAGTCTTGTTTAGTCAACCGGCAGAACTTGAAAGCTCTCGCTGCGATTAGCTAGAAAAACTAGTATCTATCTTGACAGTAACCACTTTTTGGCGACGCCTTACGGGCAGAACCCTTCTAGGGGAAACGATTACAGATCAGTGTGTTATTGTTTGAGAAGGACATATTATCATATCACAATGTCATTATTGGATTTAGTTCGTCAGTTGCCCTTTGGCCTACGAATCAGCCGGGCTAATATCAGGGAACAAGGTCTAGTGTAGCGTGCTCTAAAACAGTACCGTATTTTGTGGACAAGTTGTTAGGCCGATGATTTCCTAACTGAAATTACGATCCACACCATGTCATCGGTCAGGCTTGTTTCCATGTGCATTGTTGTGCTCTGTGTGAGCTGTACACGTCCTGACACTCAGTCTGTTCCAAAGACAAAGGTGAGGTGGCCGAGTATTGTATAAAACATACATGTATTGTAGGAGACATTTGCACATTGATCCTAGTCAGTCCTGACAATGACAAGACGTTGACCCAATACACTCATGTTTGGTTCTCAAAACATAATTTTTTACATAGCTGACAATCTCCCTCTCAGGTGACCCCGACTGTTGTGAACGACACCATTATTTGGACCAGCGGCCTTGAGGGAGAGATCCACACCTACAGGACGCCCTCTATCTTCGTCACGCCGAATGGCACCCTCCTGGCCCTGTCTGGCGCAAGGAAGTATAGCTCGAGTGACGCTGGCAGAAAATTTCTGGCAATCAGAAGATCTGAAGACAAAGGTCAATGTGTACCATGTATTTTAAGTATGTTATGGTGTGACGGTATTGTGTGATTTTGTATGTATTTCATGTTAAAGATCACAGGAAGAGTAGCTAACGGAAATGTTAAGCTAATTGTGGATCCAAATAAAGTCCAGTCAAAGTCAAAGGGTATCTTCTTCTTTGGTTCATCGGATCATGGACTGTTCTGGGATTTCGAACTTTGCAGTTCACGAGTGCCCCCACGACCCTGACCTGGGTTAAGGGACCAAGGTACAAGGCACAAGTTCACGAGTTGAAGCGGTAGATGGGAAGATAGTCAATGAAAGGAAGGGAGGCAAAGTGTGCAACGATAAAACATTTTATGGAAAGTTAAAGAAAATAATCTTTTCTATTCACCTATCCTCATCTTTGAATTACAATCGAATGTTTTACTTCATGCGTGTTGAAATGTAGGGAAAACTTGGCTACCGACTTCCCTCGTGCTGGACGACGGTTACGAAACGGGTGTTCTCAATATCGGTACGGTATTTGCTGATTCCGACTCCAACACGCTGTTTGTGATGTTTGTTTACTGTCGGTTCAAATGTGAGGTTCCGGATCTACTGCTGATCAACAGCACGGATGACGGGGTCACCTGGGGTCAACCCAGGAATATAAACCCGCGAACAAACGGAACCAGGACTTTTCATCCCTCCCCTGGATACGCCATTCGTGTGAGCTTTTATTCTATGTACATTATTGTACGCTAATCTCGTGTGTGCTAATCTCCAAGCAGATCCTACGGTGGCAAGACATCCCTCTGGCCAATGGATACTGTCTTGCCGTCGTATGATCTGCATGGATATTAGTGTATGCTGCATTCAGACTTTATGTGTTTTCTCTTTGTTTTTGATTGATAGCCCAGCTAAGCACCATAGCAGTATACGATCTTGACGTTAACATTGTATTTTCGACTCTAGGATCTAGGGAGATAAATACAAATAAGCTATACTGTCAGCCATTACAACGCATTCTTAAACGCCAGACAATATTATACGCTTTTATGCTTTCTCAGAAACGCCAGGAACCACACAGAGGTCGGTTCGTCGTCTGTACGCATGGACGAAGTCAGGACAAACCCAGAGGCATCACCTTGTTGCTAAGCGACGACGGAGCTAAAACATGGCGGGAAGGGGGCTTCCTTCCCACCATGCCCTGCGGGAAAGATCCGAAGAACAAGAACTTCTCGCCAGGAGAATGCCAGGTGTATATCACATAGAACATGTAGAACTCATTCTATGGTCTGGTTTTATATCTTGCTTGTTGACGTTTGTTGACCTTGCGGTATATCTTGTGGCTTGTTTCAATCTTCAATGTTATTTCCCTCAAGCCCGTGGAACTATCTGATGGCTCTCTACTCGTCATGATCAGGAACAGAGTGAGATGTTCCTGCCACTGTAAGGCCTTCGCACGGAGCTATGACGGAGGGCAGACCTTACCTAACAACACCTTGTACTTCGACCAGACCCTGATCGAACCGTCCTCACAGGCCGGGCTAGTGTACCACAGGGGTGTCCTGTTCTTCAGCGGGCCCAACAGCTCTGATGAACGTAAGTAAGGTTTCACCGTGAGCTTTCCTTTTAGTCATCTATTGCATACTCCGAGACAATACGTCAAAGTCTGCTATAAGTCATGTTCTCATAAATAAAGTTCTGATTTGTTCCCCATATTGCTGTACGCACACGATACTGTGGTCAGTTGAGTACTCCCATTTTTACAACCCCGTATTAATCTATATCCAACATTGTATCACATTCCCAGGGGTAAATATGACCCTGAAGTGGAGCTATGACAACGGAACGACCTGGGAAGGAGTTCTGCCCATTTCGAACAAGATGGCCGGATATTCAGTCCTGGCGGAGGATCCCACAGACGACAAACACTTGTATCTGATCTACGAAAAGGGCGTGAATAGTTCTGTGGACTTTGTAGCAGTCACAAAAATTCAACTGCAAAACTAGAAAGGCCAATATTTGCTTTGGAGCAAATACAGCGATGGGTTCACCACATTTTACGACGTCATGGCAGGGAAAGAATGAGAAACACAAGGGAAAACAATGATTTACATTGATATAACTATAATATGAAGTAACATACAACTAAAACAACAGTTGGATAGCTATTCCCTACTTTATTGGTTAGGATTTTTAATTGCATAATGCAAACTGTTGATTTTCAAAATAAATAAAAAAACGTTCATGCCCCGCATTCCAATGCTGGAGCAGAAAAGCTTGAAATACCTACCAAAACACTTGAATAAAGACATACTGTCAGTATGGAAATGCTCTGTGCAGGTGTTAATCAAGTTAAATCCCAACAGCCAATCAGCAAGAAATGCTCTGTGCAGGTGGAAATGCTCTGTGCTTGTGTTAATCAAGTTAAATCCCAACAGCCAATCAGCAAGAAGTATAGAGGAAAGCTGCATGCCTATTGGTTGATGCCCTGCATTCCATTGTGATGACTCATGCCCAGACGTGGTAAACACGGCACACTAACACAGTAATACATTTGCTATAATACAGCCAAAAAACTCAAATAAAACCATTCTAAAAGCCTGTATCACAATAATTTAAAAAACGCCTAGGGGTATTTGCCCACTGTACCTCCATACCAAATTTCAGGACCTTGGGCCCTAAAATGAAGAAGCTGAATCCATTTAAAAAATGGCAGGAGGAGAAGGAGGAGGAGAAGAAGAAGAAACACCAGAAAAAGCAATATGGTTTCACCACACCACTTCGTGGTGTGGTGAACCCATAACAATACTTAAGTCTGTGGTATGCGATGTATGAGACAAAACAAAATAAAATGCAAAGGTTTGCATCGTCCAGCCAAAACAACCAGGAATGGCCTTAGTCTTTGAGTGAAATTGTTTGCAAGTCTTGAGTGTTCAGCGGAAACTACTTCAGCACCAGGGACAGGTACACCAATAGACGAACACACATCCCTACAGTAGATACAATAATACAGTTACGGTTTAGTAATAAAGTGCACATAGCTATCTGTTGACGCCCTTCTGCTCTTAACCTATTCAAAGGATAAAATTCTTGCCAAAGTATGCATGTTTACAGTGATTGCCATGGGGTATGCATTCATTACACACAATTTGGTGTTGTGTACTTTCATCTTTTTTGTTGACACACGCACACAAGCAGGTGTTGCGATCAATATTTGGCAAAACAAGGACATAGCACGTCACAGTAACAACTCTGGGTACAGGGCTGATGCAATATTGCCAAAATAACACATCATAGACGTCATTTTGACCCGGACGAGTCCACAAGCACAAAGAGAAGATATACTTGAACAAAGGAACAAAGCACAGCAGCGATGTGTCCAGATTTGTGTGCGAAAATCCTTAGCTTCGTCTCAAATCAAAAATAGGTACTTCGAAGAAACGCTGACAGGGCGATATATTTGAGACGGGCAAATCAACATATCACAATGTCATTATTGGACTTCGTTCTGAAGTTGCCCTTTGACCTACAGCTATCTCCCCGCGGCTAGTACCAGTTGAACAAGGTGGTTCTAAATCTAGTGTAGCGTGTTCCAAAACAGTACCGTATTTAACAGTACTGTTAGGATTTCCCAGCTGAAATGTTATCGGCAAGGCTTCTTTCCATGTGCATTGTTGTGCTCTGTGTGAGCTGCATACGTCCTGACACTCAGACTGTTCCAAGGACAAAGGTAGGGTGGTCGACTATTGTGTATACTGTAAACATTCATGTATTGTAGGAGTCATTTGCACAATGATCAGAATCAGCCCTGTAGGTTTTGTGTAGTCAACAGAGTGACCTTGAGACGACACCTTACATGCGATCCAGGAAGCACGTAATACAGGAAATTTGGGTTCGTTGCTGCTGGCGACCCATTGTTTGACATAGCTGTCAATCTCCCTCTCAGGTGACTCCGACTGTTGTGAACGACACCATCATTTGGACCAGCGGCCTTGAGGGAGAGATCCACACCTACAGGACGCCCTCTATCTTCGTCACGCCGAATGGCACCCTGCTGGCTTTCTGTGGCGCGAGGAAGGATGGCAGAGGGGACAATGACAGGAAGATTCTGGCGATTAGAAGATCCGAAGACAAAGGTTATGAACAAAACGTACCTTTCTCTTTGTTTTATCGAATCTATTCCTGTAACTTTGCATAACCAAAGTTCAGGTGTAGCGTCCTTTGGCGTCCAGAGTTCTATTGTGATCTACATGCTACCCCCCCCCCCCAGATCTACGTGCGATCAGAAAACTTAACCTTCCCCCAAAAACGCATGTAAAGGAAGCTAGTTCAGGTGGTAGGTGCGAACAATATTTCAATGAAAGAAAGAAAGGTGCAGAGAAATGAAATTAATTAAAGGCTACAGAAAGAAGCTTTCCTGACCACCGAAATTTCATGTTACATTGAAGACAATTTTACTTTCTACGTTTAATTTGTAGGGAAGACATGGCTACCGACATCCTTCCTGGTGGACGACGGTTATGAGAAGGGTGTTCTCTTTGTCGGAACGCCGTTTGCTGACTCCGACTCCAACACGGTGTTTGTGATGTTTGTTCACTGTCTGAACAAGTGTGAGGTTCCGGACCTTCTACTGATCAACAGCACGGATGACGGGGTCACCTGGGGTCAACCCAGGAACGTCAGTCCGCGATCGAACGGTACCAGGAGTTTCGACGCCGGGCCAGGATACGCCATCCGCGTGAGTTCTCATTCCTTCAGTCGTAAAGCCTGGCTGCCATCCTCCGTAGTTTTCGCCTTCTCCCTAATGTCGCTGGCTACCACGGGCGAAAACTACGGAGGATGGCACCCAGGTTAGCGTGAAGAGGGAAGAAATTTGTATTTTCACAGATTCAGTTTGTTGATGTGGTAGTGACCAGGTTAAATTTGTATATGAATTTTCATTACATTTTGTTGGTAGGTAAATTTTTTTAATGAATTGAGTGCGTCGCGTCGCGTGTGCCCGCGTCAACTGCGTTCAGATACTTGAAAATATTCGCCTCATGTTTCTTCTTCAGAAACGCCAGGAGCCTCATAAAGGTCGGTTTGTCGTCTGTGCGCATGGAAGGGGCCAGGACAAACCCAGGGGCATCACTCTGTTGCTAAGCGACGATGGAGCTAAAACATGGCGGGAAGGGGGCTTCCTTCCCACCATGCCTTGCGGGGTCGATAAGAAGGTCAAAGACTTCTCGCCAGGAGAATGCCAGGTGCAAGTCAATCCTATTGTCTAGAACATGTTATAACTCGTTTTATATGTACTTACCTAGTCCCTTGAATGATCAAACCGTCCGTGGGACAAGGTAAGAGTTTTCCTTTGTGCTGCAGCTGTCAGCAGCTCGTTTTATATCATATCTTGCTTGTTGACTGTTGACCCTGTGGCAAATCTTGTGGCTTGTTTAAATTTTTAAAAACGCCCGTGTTATTCCCCCAGGCCGTGGAACTATCTGACGGCTCTCTGCTCGTCATGATCAGGAACAGAGTACGATGTTCCTGCCACTGTAAGGCCTTTGCACGCAGCTATGACGGAGGACAGACCTTACCTAACAACACCTTGTACTTCGACCAGACCCTGATCGAACCGCCCACGCAGGCCGGTTTACTGTACCACAATGGTGTTCTGTTTTTCAGCGGGCCCAACAGCGCTGATGAACGTAAGTAGGGCCGGGTTTCAATAGCTACTTATTTGAATACACCGTCTTTTTAGACAGTTTGATTGCATACTCCGAGACAATACGTCAAAGCCCCTGCCTGGTATAAGTCATGCTTTCAAAAAGAGCTCCTGCTTTGATCTCCATATTGCTACTCTGGGCAATGAGGAACTTCCATTTTCGGGTATACCCTCTTACACACACACACACAACGGTTATCTATACATGTAATTAATTGTCGGATGGCGAACACCTAATTACTCACTAACAAGTGGCTTGCGGTTCAGATGATTTCCATGTGTTTTATTGCATATGACCTAATTTGAACACTTGCCGCCATGTGAGAAGATTCGTCACATACTTGTACTCTACCTCTTTCACGGAGACGTAATCACCAATATGACAATAATATCCAACCACCATATTAATCTACATGTACGTCCAACATTGTATCATATTCCCAGGGGTAAACATGACGCTGAAGTGGAGCTATGACAACGGGGCCACCTGGGGAGGGTCTCTGCTCATTTCTACCGAGATGGCCGGATATTCAGTCCTGGCAGAGGATCCCACAGACGACAAACACTTGTATCTGATCTACGAAAGGGGCATAAATAGTTCTGTGGACTTTCTCTCAGTCGCAAAAATTCAACTGTAATACAACACTTACGTCTACGAAGTATGTAAAGAAAACTGAAAGCGTGAGGAAGGCAATGTAGAAAGATGTTTCGAGTAGTGATATGATCTTTGTAATTCACATACATAGTGTAATAAAAAAGTGTATGTCTGACACCTATGAGGAAATAAATGTACGAAGAAGGTACGAAATAAACAGAATAGAATGTACGAAATAGAACTGAATAGAAAACTACAGAGAGGATGCAATGGTTTGCGTTGTCCTGCTATCCTGGAAAACCAGGAATGACCTTAGTCTTTACTGACATTGTTTGCAAGCTTTGAGTGTCCAGAAGAAGGCATTTCAGCACCAGGGACAGGTACACCAACACACATACGCGCCGTGTAGCTTCCATATGTGCTGAATATGAACAGCAGAAAACTGAGCTATAGCACTTAAAGGCCAAATATTTACCTGTTGATACCCTCTTCCTTAATCCCAAGGACACAATGCTTGCCAACGTATGTTTACAGCAACACAAACAAGTGATTGTCATGGTGCATAGATATATTCATTGCACTCCAACGACTCGTCACATTTCATTACCCCCTTTCTTTTGCATGTAAGGTGATGTGCGCCCCACCTTAGTGACAAAGGTGCCAGGTAGACGCTTAAAGTACGACTAAATTATTGCAGGATTTCACCCAATATATTACATGAATGGTTTCAAGACGACAATCAAAATATACTAGTGACAAATATGGCGAAATGCTGCGTCGCCACAACGTTAATTGTGGTGATGACAATCGTGTATTATGCCCTTTATTCCAAATAAAAGTAAAATTATTTTCGTTCACACTCCACTGCCGGTACGATGCCATTTAATTTTACGACAACCCTTGGGACATATTGTTACTAAGCGACCTTCATGGCCACAACAAAACAAAGTCGTCATGGCAACAGCAATTGCCTGACGATCGGTATCTTGAGTGTGTGTCGTTTGCCCGGTTACTGTTCAACCTGACCAATCAGAGATGCCCGAATACGATTATGCATCATTGCCTCCTGGTCACCTGATACAGCCTGGCCAATAGCAAACGTTTGTTTTTACATACCCCTGGAGACGAGAGAGCAGAATAAGATATAAGAGGTCCCGTGCAGTAAAATTGAGCACACTGTTGACTGCGACGACTCATCACAAGTCGAAAGTGACCAGCTTTTCGCCGGATCAACAAGTTCTATTTCTACGATAGATTTTCGTTCAGCAAACAAGAATCCATTATGGTAGGTATACGTCAATGCAGTATTATCCCAAGACACTTGTAATGCCTTCTTGGTCTCTTATTTCTGCATGCCATATTGCTCTTTTCAAGGAAAGAAGGAATTTCGGTGTGCATGGTAGCTATACACATGAACACGCAGCAACGTCTCTCTCTCTCTCTCTCTCTCTCTCTCTCACACACACACACACACACACACACACACAGACTCTCTCTGTCTCTCTCTATCTCTCTCTCTCACTCACTGCGTCTCTGTCTGTCTCTGTCGGTCTCTCTATGTCTATGTTGGTCTGTCTGTCTGTCTCCCTCCCTCCCTCTCCCCGCTCTCTCTCTCTCTGAAGAAATAGCAGCTAACCTGTGTACCCTGTTATATTCCAGCGTGAAGTGATCTCCATCCATGTCGGCCAGGCCGGTACCCAGATGGGTAACGCGTGCTGGGAGCTGTACTGCCTGGAGCACGGTGTCCAGCCTGACGGCCAGATGCCGAGCGACACGACCCTGGGCGGCGGGGACGACTCCTTCAACACGTTCTTCAGCGAGACCGGCAGCGGCAAGCACGTGCCCCGTGTCGTCTTCATCGATCTGGAACCAACAGTTATCGGTGGGTGAATTCAATATACCAGAACTTGCACATTTTAATCCGTAGAGACACATCTAATGTGTAAACTATACAACCTTGCAGGATCTTTAATATTTGATGAGACGACGAAGTCAAATGGACCAATTTACAAAATTACTCCCTGCCAGCCTTTGTTCGTGCAATTAAGTGGGGGAGCACGTGAACACCATAGAATGCAAGGACCCTCAACGTTTAAGGCAGATAATCCATACGAACTGCGGAAGTCCATACGAATATTTTACCTTGTGAATTTTTTCTATATTATTTTATGTTTTCTATCATTTTAAGATGTCTAAGACGACGGTTTTATTTTCCGATTGAGTGGTCATTGATGATTTACCGTCCCCATAACTGTTGCCTGCTGCTGTGAATAATTAAACATGCAGCCAGAAAATGTTCTCTGAATTCACCAAAGATGACTACAGTTCTTGATGTGAAATTTTTTTGCAGAGGTCATTTGTCATACTTGCACTGTCAAGATATATAGAATAGTTGACTCATGTCATAACGGTTTTCGCCAGTCCCTAGGGAGATCGCGTTTGATCTTCCAAACGCTCTAATTCTTGACATTCCTGCACAGAAATGACTCTGATCCTTTTCCTATCAACCTTTTGTGTTCCCCAGATGAGGTCCGTACCGGTACGTACCGCCAGCTGTTCCACCCCGAGCAGCTCATCAGTGGGAAGGAGGACGCCGCCAACAACTACGCCCGCGGACACTACACTGTCGGCAAGGAGCTGATCGACCTCACCCTAGACAGGGTCCGTAAGCTGGCCGACCAGTGCACTGGTCTCCAGGGCTTCCTCGTCTTTCACTCCTTCGGCGGCGGCACCGGGTCCGGCTTCACCTCTCTCCTCATGGAGCGTCTGTCTGTGGACTACGGCAAGAAGTCCAAGCTTGAGTTCGCCATCTACCCAGCCCCCCAGGTGTCCACGGCAGTGGTGGAGCCCTACAACGCCATCCTGACCACCCATACGTCCTTGGAACACACCGACTGCGCCTTCATGGTAGACAACGAGGCTATCTACGACATCGCCCACCGTAATCTGGGCATCGAGCGCCCGACCTACACCAACCTCAACCGTCTGATCGGACAGATCGTGTCATCCATCACCGCCTCCTTGCGGTTCGACGGCGCACTGAACGTGGATCTCACGGAGTTCCAGACCAACTTGGTGCCCTACCCGCGCATCCACTTCCCGCTGGCCACCTACGCTCCCGTCATCTCGGCAGAGAAAGCCTACCACGAGCAGCTGTCTGTATCAGAGATCACCAACGCCTGCTTCGAACCCGGCAACCAGATGGTTAAGTGTGACCCTCGTCATGGCAAGTACATGGCCTGCTGCCTGCTGTACCGTGGAGATGCGGTGCCTAAAGACATCAACAGCTCCATCGCCGCTATCAAGACCAAGCGCACCATCCAGTTCGTCGACTGGTGCCCCACCGGCTTCAAGGTCGGCATCAACTACCAGCCTCCCACCGTGGTGCCCGGCGGTGACCTGGCCAAGGTGCAGCGTGCCGTGTGCATGTTGAGCAACACCACCGCCATCGCTGAGGCCTGGGCCCGCCTGGACCACAAGTTCGATCTGATGTACGCCAAGCGCGCATTCGTGCACTGGTAAGGACTCCTGAATGTTTTACTTTATTGAATAAGGACAGGCAGTTATATTGTTTAACGTTTCATGTCTATTCCTTCAGAGTAAGTCACAGTTCTAGGACTTACCAACCCAACAACATTTTCTCTATGATTACTACAATTCCACGACCACATTGTGTGTAATTCCCAGGTACGTGGGTGAGGGGATGGAGGAGGGAGAGTTCTCCGAGGCACGTGAGGACCTGGCAGCACTGGAGAAGGACTACGAGGAGGTCGGGCTCGATTCCGGGGACGGAGATGAAGAAGGCGAGGATGAAGGCGAGGAATACTAGCTCCTCACAAATATCAAAATAGAATGCAAATGTACAGTAACAGGAAAAATAAAGTTATAACTGGTTAACCACAGAGGTTAACAGGCTTGCTATTTTGGTCTTTGACCTTCATGGACTTAGATAAAAGTAATCAGCTCCTTATACAAATTATCCCCGCTCTATTCCATTTTGTGTCTGGACCGTTCATGCATTGTTGATAAAGAATTAGATGCTCTCCTCTATGTCGACGAAAGGAAGGGAATACTGTGGCTGCGACTGAGACAAAGAGACAGACAGACAGACAGGCATACAGACGACAACAATAAGTTATGTATTCGGACAACTGTCCTACCATGAGAAATGTATCCGTTTGTGTACATTTGGTGCTTTACGCTATGCGTTGTGCGGAACCTATCGTCATACTTATCAATGAAAATCTCTATTAAATTTTCTTTTGTGAACAATAAAGGCATTTGCATCGTAATATCTCTGTTGTTGTGTGTTGCTTTCTTTGCTTTCTCCGTATCAATGATACCAATGCAAACTTTAGAACGGCAAACTTTAGGATGCGGTTACACATGAAGATGCAGTGGGAGAGTCCTTGTTTCCTTAGTAGAAACATGATAGAAACCACTGTTATTGCCATTCAAGCGGCAGTACGCTAACAAAGAGTAATATCACGGGACATAATGGCCGGTAGCCGTGGATATTTTCAGTTTAGTAACAGCTATTTCATCAAAGTATGCCTCAGTTCCTCTTTCATACAGTATGTAGAGGTGACTGTTATCACGTGGGAGCATCATGAGTGCGGAGTATCCTGCTAAGTCTCCCCATATCTGTGTCCCTGGGGTCCAGGTGTGGCCATAGTCGTGACTCCATCTGATGTACAGTTTGGATCCTGTGGGATACAGACGTGAAGAAACCTTGAATGGATTATCATTGATGATTTGTCGTCATTAGCGTTATGATGAACAAGACTCCATCTCTTAGATATAAGTTAGAGAAGAAGCAACTAAAAATTTCGTGAAAAGTGAGACAGCATTTCAATCGAATTTGAACAAGAAGCCATAGGCGACAATTCTCCGTGAAGTTTTATATATTTCAACAAAATCCCAAGCGTCAACGCCAGACCTACTGTGCAGACATTATAATTAGGCAACGGTTAATACAATGAGGGCGCGTCACAAGCATAAAACATACAAAGAGCTAAATCCATTACTGCTCCCAGGGCGTGTAAAGATACTGTGCTTCAAGTTCTAACTTCATTTTAATTACACACACACAATCATTGCATTCACATAAAGATCGGACTATCATGGTCGTGTCTAGTAACAAAGACAGCCCCACCGTCTTACGGTGCCTGTACCTAATTAAGCGCGCCTGGAACAAGCCAAATTCCAGCAACAGTGGCGGTAAGCACCGCGAGTGTTACTACCGCCGGCCAGATAACCAGGATATCTGCTTACAGTACCTCTGCTACCAGACAACTGCCTAAACCTACGGTCTATTCCACAGGATTGTAAAAGTAGGGATGTTTCGAAAATAACCATTTATTCCAATATCAAAAACAGCTACGGTAAAAATAAAAAG